TTCTGAACGAGGTAACCCAATCACAAAAAGACAAACATGATATGTGCTCACTCATATGTGGACCTGCTTTATGATTCACAGTAGTGACCATGCTTTATCAGAGCTGTTTTTAATGATGTTGCTCAGAATGGTTTCCTCCCAGATGATGACTAAGAAACTAATTTAAAAAAAAATGGTGCCAAGTACCACAAGAGTAACAGAACTGTGCTGTTTTCTGGGATTTTGTTTTTTACTTTGTTGTTTGTTTGTTTGTTTTGTTTTGTTTTGTTTTTTTCTTTGTTTTTTGTTTTTTTAATGGAGTGTGCTGGATGTCTCTACAATATTGTTCAAATGACTGCAGAACCTGGAAAAGCTGTTGCTGCTATTGATGCATAACATATTGCCAATATTTGTCTCTCTCTCTATATGTATACATATATATATATATATATATATATATGCTAATTGAAACTCAAATGTGTGATGAATCCAAGGTGTTTCAGTGAACGCTCACCTATGCATGCAAATTTGATTTCATTTTTAGTAAGTAGTAAAGTTATATGCTTGCCAAAAAAATAAATAAGTGACACACTGGAAGACAAATGTCACACAATTTCAATTTTATGTGTAACCTAGAAATGATGAACTTATGGGAACAGAGAGCAGAATTGTGGCTATTAGGCTTCAATGTGGGTCTTTTAACAATGGGGAAAGGATTGGTTTAAGGATATAAAACTGCAGTTGGACAAGAGGCATGGACTCTGTGATGTCTTGAGGTCTACTGAGAGCATGATAAATAGGTTGATAACAATATGCTATATTTTAAAAGTTGTGAGATATTATTTTTTAAGTGTTCTGAAAACAAAACTGATGAACATATGTGTTATAACATGTTAATTGGTTTAATTTAGCCATGCCATTGTGAACATACTGTATTATGTATCATAATTGTGCATGACTTTATTTATGAGCTAAACAAATGAATGGAAAAGAAAAAATGTTAATATCAAAAAAAAAGATTACAACTGTTAACCCAAACTAATATGCAAGGTAAAACCATCATAATTGAAGGAGAAATGAAACCTTTCCATGGCAAGAAGACATTAAAGGAATTTATGATCATCATGAAAGTTCTACAAAGAATAATAGAAGGCATATTTAAGATTAAAGAGAAATTTAAACATACCCAAGAAGCTATAAAAAATACTAAGACAGTCATTATTCAAAAGAGCACTAAGGAAACAACAAAAGGCTATTCTTTGAGGTACCTTTGGTGATGGTCCTGGCCTTGGGAAAGAACCCACAGAGGCGCACATGCCCCTCAGTGGCTATGGAACCTCCAAGGTGAGAGCAACTGTGTGGCTGGGAAACAGGCACCAGGAACAGGACTGGCTTGTGATAAGTTTCTCTGCTGCTGCTCATGAGAACACAGCCCTCACATTTATATTGCAGAGGTTCAGTCATTGTTCCTGAGACAGAATCCCAGAGAAGAGCAGCAGAAAATGACTCTCAGGGAACCATCATATCACATGTGGTAAACATAAGGTCTTGGATGGAGGCTCAAAACATTGTCCATTAGCCCATGACTATCTAAGAGGCGTCTTATAAGTGTGGATCCTTCCCATATACACCTTATAACACAAGTGATACCACAGAAAAGGGCAGCTATCGTACATGTTGTAACCACAGCGATGCCTCTGTTTTCTCATCAAACCAAAACGGATATACATGTGGGCACAGCAGAGAAGACCTTTGAAAATGTAAAGACTGTGTAAAACATTTGCGTTCCAGCATTAGTCAAAGTCTGAGAATCCACCCTGGAAATAAGTGTAAAGAACATGATAAAAATTTTGACTTTACATACAAACATCCGATAATTCACAGTGCAGAGAAAACCTGGAAAAGCAAAGAATGTGGCAAAGTCTACAGCTCATTGTCATATTTTAAAATCCATTTCAGAATCCATACTGGAGAAAAGTCTTACACATGTAAGGGATGTGACAAATCCTTTACCAATTACTCAAGTCCTAAATCACATTAGAAAATGTATACTGTAGAGAACGTTATACATGTAAAGAATGTGATAAGTCATTTCATTATTTGTCGGACCTTAAAAACCATTAGCGAACTCATACTGGAGAGAGACCTTACAAATGTTGTGAATGTGACACACCCCTTACCAGAAGATCAGAGAAGTCATACAGGAGAGAAACCTTACAAATGTAAAGAATGTGACAAGGGCTTTTCCAAGTTGTATGGCATTGGAGACCATAACATAGCCCACACTCTAGACAAATCTTAGGAATATAGTGAGTGTAATAGATGCTTTACCAGTTCCTCAGATCTTAGTGTTTGTTAGAGGATTCACACAGGAGCAAAACTTTACAAATGCTGTGGTTTTGGCAAATGCTTTGCAATGTCCTCAAAAGAGTGCACACTAGAGAATTCATACAGGAGCAAACCCTTACATTGTAGTGGGTATGACAGATCTTTTCTTGTAAGGATAAGAATATCAGGAAGTCTCCCGTGGAAAAGTCTCTCCTAGAAATGGCTGCATAAACAGGACTAGAGCAATGGCAGTATCAATTGAAATCCTAACAGGAAAGGCAAAAATTTTGTGGGGTTTCCCACGCTTAGATAAGGAACTATAGACAACTAAAGACTGATGTGGAGGGGAACCAGCCTCATCCACTTTTGGTTATTCAATGCAGAGTGTTCACCTTAAAACAGTGTAATTACAAACAACAAAAATGGGTTCATCATATTGTGTTTGTATAGTTTTGCACACACACACAGAGCCACACACACACATATGTAATAGTCAAAGACAAAGAGACTATCCCCTTGAGAATGGAATGGAGACATGGGAGGGATTCAAGGGAGGGTGGATGGGAATGGCTGGAGGGGTGAAATGGAGGGGGCAAGTGATGTAATTCTTTTATTTAATATAGTGTGTGTGTGTGTGTGTGTGTGTGTGTGTGTGTGTGTGGGTGTGTGTGTGTGTGTGTGTGTGTGTGTGTGGGTGTGTGTGTGTGTGTGTGTGTGTGTGTGTGGGTGTGTGTGTGTGTGTGTGTGTGTGTGTGTGGGTGTGTGTGTGTGTGTGTGTGTGTGTGTGTGGGTGTGTGTGTGTGTGTGTGTGTGTGTGTGTGTGTGTGTGATGTGTACTATGAGATGCATAGCAAAAATATGTCTTCTGGTCATATTGTGGCCATTGAATTCATGTCTTCAGCAGAAGATCACAAGACTGGGCTTTTCATTATACATAAGTCCTCCAGGGACTATTGGCCGTAGACAGTTACTGAGGCCGGGGCATCATTTTCCTCAGTGGGATAGCCCCTAACAAATTGCCTTTGCTCTAGTAAATTAGCTTTGACCCACGTTTGGGCAGGGAACTGATTACACTCAGTGGGTCACACACAAAAAGTAGACGTGGAGATGTGGTGGCAGGGAGGACTTGCTGATGAGAAGGGTTCCGGCTGCACAGGGAAGGGATGAGGGGGGCGGGGTGCACGCAGCGATGACCGAAATTCATGCTGCACGTTTATGAGACAGGCAAACAGTGAAAAATTTAAAATGCCAAATATAAGATATAAGACTTCATATAGATGAGAAAAAGTATCTGTTGCTATTGAACATCACAGATTTATAAACTAAGTGAATTCAGGCTGTGCAGGAATATTATGGATATTTCTTACCACGATTTTCCGTGTATTTCATCCAGAAATTATTTTATGAGAAACTGAATATATAGTATCGATGTGCAGACAATATCTCAAGAAACATAACAGTAACTTGTTTTCTTGTATCATTAAAATTTAAACAGGTCATATACTATATATGTAAGTTATTATGCTTTAGATTTAATGTTCACTCATATGAGTATTCCCAACATTTTGCAAAACTATGTTATTGTCAGTCAGGCTGGATGGCACGCTGTGGGCTGTGCTGAGAGCGACTGGAACAGTGCAGGCAGGGTTCTTAGGGCTCCCAGCACACTGTGCTAGGAGTGACTCCCCTCTGAATTGTGTGCTCAGACTTACTGAAGAGGGCTTACTACCCCTCTTAACCATTTCCTCCGCCAACTGCGGTATAAGGGGTTAAGTTCCTCAAGGTGTTTTGTTCTTTCTCACTAGTCCAACACTGATGACACCTTCCTAGCTCTCACCATGGTCTGCTACAGTGTGAAAGTTGCATGACTATGAATTTCTCTTTCAGCTGTATTAGGAATAATAATACTGCACCCTTTAATATGTACTTTATGTCCTTTGCTTTGCTTCAGCTATGTCTCTCATTTTATAACATATGCTGTCATAGAAATATCAGCAAAATCCTCTGGGATGTAGAAGACAATCCCATTTCCAGGAGGAAATTCTGTTTCTGTGGTCATGTATTTGTGCAGTTTTCAAATATGCCGGTGTATACGAAACCCGAGGAATATACCTTTGCAAGCCAGTGAAGGACACATAACCATGTGTGTTTGAAAGGTTATTTTGACTGTACCTCTTCGTGGAAAATAACATGTAAATGAATTATTATTTCTGTCACAGTGGCAAAAAGACATGGAGATCCGAAAGCAAGAGGAAGCAGAGTATGAGGAACAGAGACAGAAAGAGGAGGAGATAAAGGAGAAAGTCCGCTTTCAAGAAATTATGAAGCAAAGACAGAAGAAACTGAACAAGCAAACCAAACCCTACGAAATCCCTTGGTTAGAAAAAAAAGATGGCCCAGGAAAGGAAAGTGGGTTCCGTGGGCAGGAAACAAAAACCCTACCTAAGCTACGTGGTAGGAAAGCGTCCTTAGAGTTAACTTGAGGCCAATTTTTTAAAGGCATTGTTATCTTAGTACTGGTTAGTAGTCACAGTGTAGTCTTAGGTTAGTAGTTGACTCTTCGCCACACTTAGGTGAGGTGGTTTCACCAGCTGTCCCTGTGTTCCCCCTTGTTCTGATGAAGTTGCTCTCTATGTTGACAGTCACTGCACTCTGAGAAGACACTGAAGATTAACTAATGAGTCGGACATAAGGGGACAAAATGAGAATTACTCTTGAAAGCATGAGTGAATGCAGGCTTGTGCCCCCTTTGATAGGTTTTATTCCAATAAAGACATTATGATGCCTCTTGGATCCGTAGTATTTTATCATCAAGTTTTGAAGAATGAAGGAAGCCCTAGAATTTGATAAATTACTGTGCACAAGCAAGTCTGGAAGGGTGCTCTCCCAAGATCAATTTGATAGCTAATCATGGCCAAAGAGACCCCTGAGTGACAGTGGTTTTCGTTTGCTACGTGGGTTTATGAGAATGGATTTGAAGGAGCCCAGAAAGTTCAGTACCAACCACTGGATGCATTCATTTAGTTGGGAATTGTTTTATAAATGGTGTTTCACTTCATCTGAGACTCAGGCTATGGGCAAGTGTAACAGGATGGGGTTTCCATGGTGCCTAATAGTTCTCCTTTTGAAAATATAGATAATGTATTTTTCAATTTCACACATGTGGTTTGGTGATGCTCAAGAGGCAAGTACTTCACCGGGGATGTCAGATCCTGACACAGGGCAGATGGTACCCTAAATTAGCCAAGAGGCCTTATATCCACTGCACTGGAGACCTTTCCCCCACCACTCCACCACACTTGCATGCATCTCACTGTGGGTTCCTTTACTCTTTCAAGAAGGCTTCAGATAAGGTTTCTTTTTAAAGGCCAGTTATTGCTTCACAGAGCTGGCAATTGGACAATGGGCCACATGTTTGTGGTCTGTATAATGTGATTTTTGAGGGTTTTTTTTGGTGCTGTTGTTCAGGATAACAGTAATCAATGGTAGAAAAATGTTGTTGTTGGTTTTCTGTTTTCACTCTTCGTTTAGCTGGTTCTCATTCACCAACTCTTCATTCATTCATTTTTATCCTATAGAAAATCTCACAATGCACCTTTCCCACATATCTGCATCGTCCCTGCTTTATAGTCATATGCAAGATGAAACACCATGACAGAAGACCAGTTAATTCCCTATCGCACGAGTTTTCATTCCCTCCTTAGACTCCTCCCACCAAGTACCCATGCAAACCCAGATCCCCTTCCACTCACACCACAGTCTCACTAAGGGCACCGTTGATAGGAACTTTATGAAACTTTGGCTGTTCTTTAATGTCATCTCCTGGTTTGTTGGTACTTGTAACCACTGAGCTATAAAATGTAGGAAAGGGATTTGGACAGTTTAACTGCTGTTTATAAGAATTTCAATTAATCCTTTTGTTTCAATATCACCCTTGTAGAAGGAACTGGTCCCTCCCCTTCTTAATCTTTCTGGCATCCGAGGTCTGTTCTGGTTCCCTCGGAAACTTTGGTTTATCTTTCTCTGTTACAGTTAGTCTTAACCCTTCTTACTCAACCACCATCACAGTTTTGTAATTTTCTCAATATTTCTAGCACATTCATCTTTCATCCTTGCACATTCATAGCTTTGCTGTCATAGTAATTGTGACTTGGAAAGAAGCAAAAGAGGACCTCTCTATTAACAGATAGAAAATGATACAGAGAAATACTAAAAGAGGGGGGGAATTATAATTCTCATGTCTTTCTTCCTAAATTACATCTTAAAATACGAGAGCACACATTTCCTACAGCTTTTTTTTTTTTGTCTCTGATTCCTTCTGAGATATTAGCAACTTTATGCTTATAGATCTGGATCCATACTCTGGATTTGATTTGTGGTCGCCCTGAAATTGTAGACAAGTTAATAAACCATTTGTACTTAAATTCATTCATTTTCAAGGTTGACATAATTAGGTAAAGACTGCCAGAAAAACAAGGTTGTTGATAATTTTAACAGAGAGGATTTGATATAAAGGATTGATTTTAAAATTTTTTATGTGTGCATGAGTGTGTGTGTCTGTGTTTGTGTTGTGTGCACGTGTGTGGGCCTGAATAAGCTTATGGGCGCCATATTCATGCAGGTGTTCTTGGCGACCAGACACAATGATGGATCCTCTGGAACTAGAGTTTTAAGCAGGTGTGAGCCCTGGGAACTGAAGTCACATCTTTTCCAAGAACAGTAAGTGCTCTTAACTGATGAGTCATCTCTCTGGTTCCAAGGAATTGTTTTAAAATGATGTTTTAGAACTGAAGTTAATGAAAGGGGAATACAGAAGTAACTTGGAATGCTCACTCTGCAGATCCAAGATCTCAAAAACACTTGGGCACTTAGGCTTCTGGAGATGGGAGGAGGAGACACCTCATGGTAAGACTCCAGCCTTTGTAGAGGAGACTGCACTCCTGTTGCTGGTGCCTCGGAGGGTCACAGTACATCTGGTTTAGGGATCACAGACAAAGAAATCATCAAAAGAAGAACAAGCTGAACATGCTGCCAGGGAATTCAAAACCCAGAAAATTTCAGATCTTTTCTTCTTCTGAATCATTTTTTAATTGTTGCTTCCCAATATCACAAAAAAGGAGAGAAATGGGTTTAGAATTGACATTATTAGGTTAATGTGTAGCACAATGCCTAGAACACTCCTACAGTGTAAGGAGCTCTCCCTTCTTTTATTTTGCTAAAATATATTTCTAGTGTAATTTGATGTTTGCTGCGAGTTTGAAAGATTAAATTAAGGCTTTCTAGAATCCATTGGCTATGGGTTTTCTGTAGGTCTCCCCTAGTAAATATCAAGACACAAGAATACGGTTTCCACACAAAGTAGCCCATAGCTTTTCATGTGGTTGAGAATGAGATACAAGACTCTGAGTTAGTTCCCATGGAGGACTAGAACTAAAAGGCCTGTGTTGTTGAGGAAGCAACTAGAGCAAACAACAGTTTATTCTGAAGCACAGTGCAAAATGTGCACTTCTCCTGTTCTAATCATAAAAGTGCAGGTCAGTAGACCTGAAAAGGGCTGGAGGAACTCAAGAGATTAAGTTTTAAGAAGAAATGACCACCCAAAATACAGCACCCCAGCTTTGGCTAAGTGGTGGCATATGGAACAGTGATGTTGAGGTAAGCTTCAAAAGTAACAGACATCCGTAATCTAGAAACTCCATGGGGATATTTGGATGCTGTACTTGAAGTTACTGACTCTTCTCTCCTTATCAGTGACACAATGCCACCCTTTTCTGGTTAGGTAATCATGCGTGTTCTTTCTCATACTTTTAAGTTTGTATTATCAACAGGTTCAAAGGAAGTTTCTATATGTCATCCATAAGTTCTTGGACCATGTTGCTTAGGGCCCATAAAGAAGTAGGCAGATTCCCTTCCTTTAATGTGCCACCATAATTATATTATTATGTTCACATCTGTAGTGCTATGGGACATTTTTACTGCTGTTATGATTGGGTGATTATTTACTATGTGGGATTTTCTGTGTATCTGAGCTGTTAATCTATCCTTTGCACTTCCTTGCAGTAGAGGCCAGTAATGCCCCACCCTGCCCTCTCAAATACTCTGTCTCCAGCTGTGATGATCAGGGTCCTTTGGAAATCATCCAAGCACTCTCCAGGGTGGGTTTGGTCTTACCAATACTTCCTCATCTCTCCCTTTGCTGAAGTGGGAACATGGATTATAACATCAGAGCTTTAAAAACCCAGTTTTCTCTATGTTTTAACTATTGCATACACATATACAATGTAGTGCTTTTACTCATCCCCAGCTAGGCTCTAATATCCCCTTCCTATGCCTCATGGCTTGCTTTTCTTGCCAGCTAGTCCCATCCCACTTTCATGCCCTTTTCTTCTTTTTGTTTGGACATGCTGAGTTTAACTAGGATTGCTTACCTACGTTACCTACATCTGGAAAGGGGTTGTAATAGAGGTCCCACTTAGGGCTAAGCACTAAACAGTCACTTAATCTCAGGAATTTGACCAGTTCTGAGTCAGCATTAACTTTCACCTGCTGCAAGCCAAGCACCTGGCTATGTGTATAAACATATTCAGAAGGAAGTTTGACAACCTATCCATTTATCAGAAGAACAGTAGTAGGTTACACCCTAGGACCTTTGGCTTTGGCCAGGTTTATAATACATCTATTTTTCCCCTGTGAAATGAACCTCCAATATAATCAGGAAGCAGTCAGTCACTCTCCACCCCCAGGCATTCACACTGCTAATGCACCAGGGGAGGGGACATGCTTGATAGGTTAGCACTGTAGCATGCAGGGACCACAGCTGGTTAGAAATGTTGACTCTACCTCTTCAGCAGCCAGAATAGCTCCTTTATAACACTATGAAGGCTAGTCAGTGGGGCAAGAGCTTCTAGATAGGTTCCAGCTTGACTTCTTTGTAAGCCATATCCAAAATGTATCTTTGGCAATAGGTATTATAATCTAGTTTTGATGGGCAACTAACAGCAATGGTGATAGCTTGTGTGGTTTTGGGACCTCCCAGCCCTCCCTGGAGATAAACTCATATGGAGGTCTCCTGTACTTGGCATTGGCATTATTTAAAAAACTGACAGCCTCAGTTCAAACTGTCTTTTAAAGTTATGTTGTTATTTAGTTGTAATATTTACTAGCGGGTTTCTATATGGATTTGCCACGAATCCTTACCCCTTCTCCCCGCATGCCTTTCCGCCATCCCGTTCTCACATGACCGTTTACAGACCCAGTGTCACATGTGTCTTAACGCCCGTCCCCAGCTCAAGCACACCCCAGAACCATTTCTTGCTTCCTGGCTGCTGTAGACACTCACACACAAGCTTGACAATAAAAATATAAAAATTCAAAGCTAGGATCTTCAAAAAAAGAGAGAACAGATGGCGTTTTTTCTTTCTAGGCCTGGGCTACTTCACTGAGCTTGATATTTTCCAGTGCAATTCATTTTCTTGCAAATTTCATAGTTTCATTTTTTCCTTAAGTGCAGAATAAAGTCCCATTGTATATACATACCACATTTTCATTATCCATTCTTCAGCTGACGGGTGTCTAGTCTGATTCTATTTCCTAAATCCAGGCATAAGAGAGGCGATGAATATGGACGAGCAGGTACCTCTGCTGTGGGGTGTAGAGGACTTTGGGTGTATTCCCAGGAGTGTGTATCTGAATCATATGGAAGTTCTATTCTTACATTTTTGAGACACATCCAGACTAATTTCTATAGTAGCTGCCACCAGCTTGCACTCCCACCAACAGTATATTAAATTT